TGATGTAGAAGAAGAGGGGACACATGTTGATGTAGAAGAGACATGAGACATGAAGAAGAGGGGACACATGTTGATGTAGAAGAGACATGAAGAAGAGGGGACACATGTTGATGTAGAAGAGACATGAAGAAGAGGGGACACATGTTGATGTAGAAGAGACATGAAGAAGAGGGGACACATGTTGATGTAGAAGAGACATGAAGAAGAGGGGACACATGTTGATGTAGAAGAGACATGAAGAAGAGGGGACACATGTTGATGAAGAAGAGACATGAAGAAGAGGGGACACATGTTGATGTAGAAGAGACATGGAGAAGAGGGGACACATGTTGATGTAGAAGAGACATGAAGAAGAGGGGACACATGTTGATGTAGAAGAGACATGAAGAAGAGGGGACACATGTTGATGTAGAAGAGACATGGAGAAGTGGATTTTGCACAATAGGTGACCTTTAAACAATTTATATAAAAGTCACATATAGAGTATGACAGATTTTCACAACCATGTTCGTCTAATTTAGGAAAAGTCCAACCCAACCTCTGAGGCTGGTGAGAGAAATGTGTCTCAGATGTTTATCCACAGCCTTCTGGCTCACTGTGTGTAGGATTACTGAGTGAAAGCTTTAGCAGAATGCCTGAGGATGTAAATCTACAATGTGAAAGTACAGTGGGGGTGAAGGCATGTGATGGATGCTTACAGCTACTTACACTTTCCTGCAGTGTGGGCACCTGGCCAGCGTCCGGTCTGTGAACTCTGTCCACTGAAATTACAAAGAGAAACATTTGTCAAATGATCTGCTTTATTGATGACAAAAGGTTCAAGTACTGTGATTAGAATTCATATAATCTCATTTTCGATATCCCAGCCTTAGAATTAGCTGTTTCTTACACCATGCTTACGAATAAAAAATTGACATTTTCTTTTTATCTTTAGACCTATATAACAAACTACAGAAGATTAAAACCCCAAAAAGCATAATAGGGCCTCTTTAACTCACACTATAAACATACACAGAGATTCAAATATATTTGGTTTATACACAATCTAGGCAAAGAAATAGAAAAGTGCAAATGTGTTCAGGGTTGTTTGTAATACTTTGGTACTTGGAATTTCATTTGTTCTATGCGTCTGTCCTGGTCCGACTTGGTGGTGTAAAGGGCAAATGTCTATAAAGTTTTGTCAAATGCCAAGACAAAAGTAAAAAACAATTCTCTGAGAGCCAGATAAAGTTGTTCTTTCCCTGGTAAACAATGTATATTTCAGAAGAATAATGTAACACATGTTTGCCTGAAAAATAACGTCATTATCTGTTGTTGATACACCGTCAGCTGATTAAATGCACTGATGGGGGCGGTCTTATTTAAATGTGCCTGCTGATGTTTTGATGACATTTAACATAATCACTCCAGCTCTTGCTAACATCCAAAAGAAAAATAATCTTCTCTCGGGGTAGACATTTGTAAACCCTGCAGAGCAGAATCCACTGTGTGCATGCTGTGCATTCGTCTTGTTTTGAACAAACACTCTGTATTGGAGGCGCAGAGAACATTATCGCTCCATCTTTGATAAAGGGATCACGGCGCTGCCACCCAGGGCACAGATTTTTATTTTCATTCTGCCTCACTGTCTTCACGCAGGTAGGTAAGGTCAGACTGAATGCTAAACACCCTGAAGCATCACCAACTAAATCCTTTCTTTCCTCTCACTCTGCAGCCATCCTCACTCCCCCCGTATATTTAAACCACCGTTACCTGTCCTACACATTGTTAAAAAGCACTAAGTTCAAATTCCCCTTTAGCACACAATGGGCTGAATATATCAGCGCAGGGTGGACAGGGTTATCGATCCAAACCAATAACTCAACATTCACTTGGCCTGGTGCAAATGGGGTTTGGGCTTTTCAATAATTCACCGTTCTGGCTGTGCTTCAGTTCATTTCACAACAAAGGCCTTTCAGCTCGACTGAAACTGTCACGAGATATATTTCATCTACGACTGATGGCAAATGCCAAAGCTGTTTCATTATTCGGCTAGTGTGCATTATAATGCAGCAGCTCCTCATACTGTGGCTGTTTTAGTGGATCGTGGCTCCCTGTGGAGACCCTTTATTGGTGGTGCCTGTTTGGATGTGTCATTTAAAAAGAGATGGGAGGAAGGGGCCTGCGCCAGAGAGTTCATCAATTGAACTGATTTGGAAAAGTTCTTGTCATAGAGGATGATAAGAGCAATCAATCATTGGCTTTGTAAATTCAACCTGTGCTTCTGACGGCATTCATACCTTCAAAGTGGAATTGTTATTATTTTTAAAGCTCAGAAAATGCAGCAATCTGTACACAATAAAAAGAAAAGGAGAAAGCTAGACAGTAAACTATTTTGGTGGAAAGATCCTTACCACTCCCATTTCCGTGTAAAAAAACGATTGTCTTGAATAGATTGTGTGCAAGACTATTTCTGGGAAAGGAATAGTGGTATACTGACAAAGCATTCTGAAGGTAGAGAAGAGTCCGGTGAACGACCCACATCAAACTTCAAACTACCGGTAAACAGTTTTCGTACGAATTACAGAAATGAGATCAAAATGACTCAACTAGTGAGCTTTAGATGCTGGAGGAGAGTTAGCTTGGTCGGTTTCCTGTTTCCACTCGTTATGCTACGCTAAGCTAGCCCTCTGGTGGCTGTATATTTGACAGACAGGCAAAAGATCTTCTAATTTAACTCAGCAAGAAAGCCAATCTACCAAAATGGTAAACAAATCCTTTAACCTCTGACCGTAATGTGATTCTCAAAGAACATCCATAACATTCATCTGTTTGCAACTATATTCCAATTACTTGTATATAAACTATTCTGCACTGTTTCTATTCTATTCTATTGTATTGTATTTACTTGCACAATTATCTGTTGTATTGTGTTGCACTGTGGCCTAAGAATGTCCTTGTCATAACTACACTGTTGCTATGCACACATGACAACAAAAGCCTTGAACCTTGAATGAATCTTGTTCTGATAACATGTTTTAAACGGTGAGGGAGGATTGGTACCAGGAAGGTGTTGTTGCAGTGTCCGCAGGAGACCCGGGCCCCGGCAGGCTGGGGGTCGGGACTGGCCGGACCAGGATGAACCGGACCCAGATTAATTATCCTCTTACTGTAAAAGAGAGAGACATTCAGCGTTAAGAGCAATCTAATAATCACTGCCTGATGTTGTGAGCAGTCGTGACGGAGAGGAAAAGAGCTGACGACGGTTTCACTTTTTTGGGATCCATCAGCAGCCGATCCTCTCATTAGCACTAACACTGCTTTCCTACAATCAGCTTCCTCAGACACCTACAGCCGCTCAGAATCAGACGGCAGCACAGAGATGTGTCAGCAAGTCTGGTCTGAATGCAAAACAGAGAGAGTGGAAGTGAACTTCTCACAGTAATTTAATACAGCAGGGAAAGAAGCCTCTGTGGATTATATACATCGTTTAGCATCAGTTTAATTAAATAGGTTACTTTAGGTCAACTCAAATAAAACCAGCAACATTAAAGGGGCCCTATTCTGCTCATGTTCAGGTTCATATCAGTATGTTGTGTCTCTACTGGGACATGTCTTCAAAAAGCTCTTTATTTTTCTCATACTGCCTGTGCTGCAGCACCTCTTTTCACCCTCTGTCTGAAACCAGAGCTCAGTCTGCTCTGATTGGTTAGCTGGCCGGCTCTGCTGTGATTGGTCAACAGCTTAGAGATGTCCGGCCCTTTAGCCACGTACAATGTGTTGGAGAGCTAGCCAATAGAAGCGCAAGTGCTATGCTATGTTCAGGAAGTAAACGTCCAATGGATACGTTTCAGTGTGTGGGAGAGAAACTCCCTCTGTAGGAACACAGGGACTTTAGCCATGCAGACCATTTACATGGACTAAAGCCTATAGAACACACTATACAGGGTTCATATACTTTTTCACCAATGATTTTCAATGACTTCTCCATGACCTTTACCTAATTTTCCATGACCAAATAAATTACTCTTTCTCAGCGGTACAGGAAAATAAGGTCTGCATATGAAACATGTTGTGCCGATCTAAAACAAATCAAATAGGCTTACTAGCTTCTACACGCTAAAGCCACTAAAATCTCTCACCAGCAAAACACCTCGTCAGTTAAATGCCATTTTACGTTTTCATTACTATACGATACAGTATTTATTATCATTATAGTATTAGTATTTCGGCGATTAGATAAAATATAAATTATTTTTGATGCAACTTTAGTTAAATTTCCATGACTTGTCCAAAACTTTTCCAGGGCCTGGAATTAGCATTTTGAATTTCCATGACTTTTCCAGGTTTTTAATGACCGTAAGAACCCTGACTACAGGAAAGGGAAACCCCCAAAAAGCAGAGTAGGGCACATATATTTGTTAAAAGGTATTCACAATGTAGAGAAAATATCTTCAAAGAAAGTTCAACACAGTGAATTCAAAGCTTAAATGGCAAAGCAAATCACTTGAAGGTTCTTCCTGACATAAGGACGTGTCATTTGGTTTGAAAAACTAAATAAGTGCCTTCAAATTTTCAAACATGAAATCCCTAATCAGCCTTCAGCCTTAACCTCTGATCTGCACTGACGGATGAATTATGAGCTTCAGATCTTTATGCCGTTTCACATCCTACATGTTTACATGGCAGCAGAAAATTAACCAAAGAAAATATGGCTATACAAATGTGGCTTTTGAAAATAGTTTACCTCAGGCATCAAGAAATGCCTCTCATCTGTGTTACCATGACACCATCAGCAGCACGATGTTCAGATGAGCTGCCAGAGCCGTTACCTTCCACTGGCTGTTATCTGCCTTCTGTTTTTTACAATTAAATAATACAACACCGTGGCATCTGTCTGGAATGTAAATATGTTTAACGGCTTCCCTGACATAAGGCATTTTAAACTTTATTTCCTAAACTGTTCTGAACTTTTAGCAACCTTGTAATGTTGTCTATATGCACTGAAGAAAAGTGATTTACTATAGCTCCTTTTCCAGCGGTTCCAAAGAGACTCATATTATATGGAATTGAAATGGCTAAGTGTGCATCAGGAATGTAGCGCATAATTAAAGCAGAGATGACGAATGGACTCTGATTTCAGCTGCATTTGAAAATGTAACATAATCCGTATCCCTAAGGCCCAAAATAAGACACACGGTTAATGCCGTCTATTATCCAGGTTTAAAGAAGTGGAACACATGATGTGGCTTGTTCTAATAACGCTGTTTCATCCTCATCCGGCTCGCTGAGCACCGGGAGCAAAGCCGCAATTTAGGGACTGTTGCTCCCTCTGCGCCTTGTTACTACCTCTGCTTCACTTCACTCTCACACACACACACACCTTGTTCTCGCAGTATCACGGTGATGCAAACACACACACACAGCTGGAAAGAGCTGCTCACCAATACGGCCGGGGACAGGCGATCCTCTGGGAAGTGACTTTGCAGATGAGCAGGCAGTTGCAGGGGCAGCGGACGTACTTCTTCCCTGCCGGGGCGTTTTTAATAGGCTGCAGAGGGAGAGGGAGACACACAGGGGGACGAGATAAGAAGACAGCAGAACATCCACTTAGAACGGGAGTAGGTAACAAGCCAATTATTCTTGATGGACGAGAATTAACCAATACTACGCCACAGAGAGAGGTATTCTGGGAGATATTGGAAGTGGCAGTACTGCAGTGCCAGGTTTTATTTTACTTTAGTTATTCAGGCAATGATAAAGGAAGTTGCTAACTTTAACTTGTACTTTTACAACGGAAAATGTGGCGATTCTATTCTAGGGATAGAAGGGATTGTGAGGTTTATGTTATTCTTTATACATCATTACACATTGGTGGACTTTAAGTACATTAAGCTGATATTACTTCTGTACTTCTCCTGAACATTGTGCATTCAAGATGGAGTATTTTAAGTATTTCAAAATGTTACTTAAGTTAAGGATCTGATTACTTCTTCCACCTCTGTTACAAATTATTCATCTAAAAGCTACTTACATACACCTCAATACCGTAGACATGTTTTCAGTATCGTGCCAAAGGACACTTAGACATGTTAACTGCAGGGGGTTGGATCAAAATGCTGACCCTCTGATTTGCATAACAGCGCACAGTTGCCCAAAAGTTCAGGAGCCGCTAGTTTGAATACTAATAGGTAATTTAAGACCCGAGCGAACGCATCAAGAACCGATTTAAATTGGCTTTCTGCAAAGAGACTGGTTTATTTAGCATTTTACCTTAATTTCAATAGAGAAGGAAATACAGACAACAATTTCAAGAAATGCTTAAAAAAAAAATGTAACTTGCGTGTGCTAAGATTTGGTAATATTCTGCAGGCTCCTATAGTATGTTTACAGATGTGTGTTGCTGTATGCTTTAGTATTCACATTAGTTACAGCATGGCTTGATGTATAGGAATCTAAATATATTCTTATGAATGATATACTCAATGAGTGAGTGACCAGATAAACGTCTACTTTGTGTCATCTCACTAGGTCACAAGACACTGCGGGCCAAAATCAGCTGTGAAGGACGGGGAGCTGAAACTGTGTGTTTTTATAAAACTCCAACTTTATTAATACCCTGCCTTGCTCTGGACTTAATAGAATATCCTGCTGATGGCTCTCTGCGTCATTAAACCCCGACTAACCAGATCTGATTGAGTCCTGCGAGTTTCCTGCTTCATCATCAATTTCACTTACAACAGATGTGGGAGTCAGGCTTATTTCTGCAGGGAGGTAATGACAGCGAGTGAAGACTAATATTACAAGTGATCATTACAGGGTGGATTGTACAATTTCAGTCGTCATTAGTTATTAATCTTAATGCCATATTCACATGCGGCAGTGTTAAAAATTATATTATTTTAATGCAGTCTAAAATAACACACCTGCAATGAATTCTACCTTCATTAATATATAGTGTAGGTGATTTTGAAGGTTGTGGTCAAACTGTATTGACCGGCGTTTCTATTATTCAGCCCATTTTATATAACAAATTATATTAATTTAAATTATATAATGTACAGCTGCAGGTAATTAACCTTTACCAAATTATATTATGTATGATCAGAATCAGAATACCTTTATTTGTCCCGCGGTGGGGATACAGTGCAGATAAAAAGGCAAAGAGTATACTTGTATATTAATTAAAACGATAAGCACACTTTATTAAAAGAAATATAAACAAATAATCAAAAACAAATGAGCACACCATGGTAAGATGGGAGGCGTGTGTGGCGCAGTGGAGTAGTGCGTTGGAGTTCGGATCAGGGTAGCACAGGTTCAAACCCCACTGCAGTCAGCATGTCGTAATGTGAAAGAGAAGTAGCAGTACTTTTTAAATGTTAAGGAAATATCAAAAAGTGTTCAAGGAGTTGGTAACGTTAGGAAATTGTAAATAAATGGTGTCATAATAATGAATTAATTAATTGTAAATAACTGTATATTGCACATGAGTAATGTTAGTGCAAAACATTTGTTATAATATTAACATGTTGATGTCTGTTATAATGCTATATATTCCTATACAGTCATTGCTATGCCTCATCTGTGGCTATGAGTTAATATTTTTGTTTTTTTTACTTCAGTTGAGACTACTTATATTCATCCTGATCCCACCCCAACTTAGACAATAAAAGCTGTTCAAGATAAAGTAATATAAATTACAATATGTCTAATTTGTAAAGCTTATTAGCAATGATAGACTGACACAAAGAAGAGCTACTGAAGATACATTCGTTTCACACTCATTTCAGTCGAAGTTAAACCTCATCTGTACGTCTTATAAGGTCGTTTTCAACCATCTATATTTGCACACCGTGACATGTTTTTTTAAGAGTACATATGTTCCCTCCATCTGTGAATCGCTCATATTGCCAGTCGGTACATCTGGACACATTTCTTATTTCCTCTTCCATCTGCACGCCGATATGCACAGCTAGTGATGCACGCTGTTGAAGCCCCTTTACCCACTGACAGCGCTGAAATTACATGCTGCGTGATCTTCAGCACAACTGTCCAATCCCTCCATCGTTTAGGGTCCTTTCTCTGCGGGAGCTGTTTCCTCAAAGAGATGACTAAAACTCAATTTCCCTTTACAAGTGTTTAAAGAGGAAATGTTTAGGTCCATATTTGTATTGTGTGTCTCTACTGTGACATGCTTTAATGTTCAAAAACACTGTCAAAACACACTTCTTCAGACTGGCTTTTAATATGTGAATTATGTTGTGTTGCTGTTTTAATATTTGTATTCTATTATATATCGTTTGAGCACCTGAAAAGGAAATGTATTATTATTAATATTAAAAAGCTCTTTTTTTTTCTCATACTGCCTGTGCTGCAGCACCTCTTTTCACCCTCTGTCTGAAACCAGAGCCCAGTCTGCTCTGATTGGTCAGCTGGCCGGCTCTGTTGTGATTGGTCAACCACTTAGAGATGTCCCGCCTCTTAGCATATCACGATTAATGTTATTTAATGTCAAAATAATGATCTCTAATTAGAAAATAAATGTAATAATGGGACCATTGTCAAGATAACAACTAATGTCTATGGAGTTGCTGTTTGTTCTTAAGCTTCAATCTCAACATATCTTTACATTTCTTTTCACTATCTCTGTAAAGCGTCTTTGAGCACCTGTAAAAGCACTAACAAAATGAATATATTATTATATATTTGCCTCCTGATTTTTCCCATCAGCATTTCACTCGGACTGGGTAAATAGATCTGGCACTTTTACACTTCAGACTGCCTCTTTTAAGAAAATGGTGGACATGACCTGTCATACCGAATTATTATTAAATGTTACGGTATGGGTAGATCAAAATCCAGTTAATTCTCCCCGCTGGTTATTAATAAATCAAACACCTACATATGCTTTTAGTCTACAAGTGAATCAAGTGATCATATCAGTTATCAAGTGAATTGACTAGTGAAGAGCTAAATGTGTGTAGCATCACACAGGACTGATAACATCAAAGAAGAAACAACATCAAACGGTCCTCAGAGATCAAAAGATGAACATTTAGCTTTTAAATTCATGCAAGTGTTAAATATTGATATCATATTTCCTGTGATTTGCCTACATTTCATTCACATCATAAATCCACAGCTGACATTTCAAAGAGCTCTTACAGCATATCACCTTTTTCAATGTGACTCAATGTGAATCTGTTACTGCACCAGTTCAAATACTTTGCACTCACCAAACCAAACCAATTACATTAAAAGTAATGTAATATTTTGGGTAGGATGAACCAAATAAACCAGTAAAGAGTCTTGGAAAATTAACTTTTTTTGTCATTGCAGGAAATATACAGACTGTACACTTTTATAATCTTATTTATTTATTTATAAGGGTTGTTCATCCAAATGCAACAAAAATAAATGCTTTCGAAACAAGTTAATATCAGGAAACATTTATATGAGGATTATAGGGGCTCACTGTGAGGTATGTGGATCAACCAGAGTCATTGGGATACTGATTATGGAAACTGAGCTGTATTGAAAGTTTTTCCTAAATTAGTAGCTTCTTTTGAGATGTCTGTTTTTATTATTTATAGTTAGTTATAGTGTGGTTGTATAAATGTAACTTATAGTGCTGATGCGCGCCTGCCTATATGCATTCAGCAGGAAGGAAAGCAAACCGTTTTTAAAGCAATAAAAAGATTGGGATTTAGAGACACATATCTCAAAAGCTTGGTTAATGTATTTGGTGATTTGTGTGAAACAACCCCTTGACAGAGCAAACTGGTCAAGTATTTGTGCATGTGTGAGTTGCAACTGTATACACTGTAAACGGATTCAGTGTGTCGAAACTTACCGTAGCTTCATTGCAAACGCCACACTTCACCACGTGCTGGTGGATCTTTCCCTCCACAGAGATCAGGCTCTGACACACCCTGCAGCTGATCACAGGAGCACTGCCACTCTCTGGGGAGGTGAGAGGGGAGTAGGGCGGAGGGTCCTCCCCCAGGAGCACCGAGGGCTGAGTGGGGCTGGGGAACGGAGGGAAGCCTGTACAGGGACGGGTAAAAAGTAACAAATAGAAACAGTGAATACAAAAGTAGTACTGCCACTGACATATGATCGGATTGTTGAGGGGAACAAATGAACAAGAGTTGCACAATGGACCGAAATGCACATGACAAGTAACAGCTTACATTAGGATTAATAAGATAATAAGATTTGGTCTCGAGGTGTACTGAAAGGAGCTTTAGAAGAAAAACACTCCTGGAATGCTGAGAGGGTTAATTTCAACAAGTAAGAGTCTAAGTACTAGTGAGAGACCCGAAAAAAATACAACAATGACGAGAGAAAGGGAAAGTTTCAGTAAGATGCAGCTTAGCAAGCAGACTAAAGCACTTTGTAGATGAAGCTAAACACAATTAAGGAGCCATAGCTCATGCTTTTTCCAGAATGTTACACACAGGCCCTCCCTTCATGAGCAGCCATTGGTTGAAGCTCTCTCTTGCAGCATCCCTTTTCAGCCTCCTTACTGGCTTTCTCATATGTCAATCAAATCAGGTGTTTCTCAAGATGCTAGCTAGCTAGGTGGTACTGTTATCTAGTTTGCGAGCACCGTGGGCATCATTCAACTATTGGAAAACACTCAACAATAAGTGTCAAGAAACTTTAATAAAATATATGTGTGCTGTTCTTTTTCTGAGCTGCAAACTTGATATTATGCGCATGCCGGTGCTAATCGAGCTAGCTAACAAGCTAATATATAACGGTTGCTAGGTTAGCTAGTTAGCACAAGGCTGATTGCCTTCTGCTTCACGTCCTAATAACACAAAGTAAATCACATTGTATCCCCCAGGAGATGCTCATTAAGATATAAAGCTTACATCATAGCCGGCATTAACACAGTGAGAATAGGCTGGTTCAACAGCTGAGCTAGCAGGCTTATACATGTTCATTTAACTGATCAACGTTTTACCTTGTTGTTGTGATATCTTCTTTTAACAGTTACCTATATAAAAGCATTTTTTAATGTAAATCTTATCTGTACTGTCCTGTGTTTCACTCTTACTCTGTTGCTGCTTTAACACCTGAATTTCCCATCAATTAAGGTCCATCTTAACCAGAATGCCCTGTCAGTGGATGCTAAGCTAGGCTAGCTGGATATCCCTCTGCTTCTCATCCTGATAACAACACAAGGGAAAGCTCCATGGAGACTCACTCTGAGGTTTGTTCGGTGCACCGTAAGGAGCGGCACCGGGAGACACCCCGCCGTTACCGCTGCCAAGAGCACCATCTCCCAGATCCGATAGTAACGGGGACCTCTCGCCGTCCGCCATACCGAGAGCCGGGCGTGGGGAGGGGGAGTGGGAGCGTGAATGCAGACCAATACGGTGTGTATTGTTGTGTCGGAAACGCAGGCGTCACATGATCACACCACCCGTGCTGCTGCTGCGGTAACGGGACCGGGGGGCGGGGCTTAGATCACCCGGGAATGGGATGCTGTTTATTATACACTAAATGGGTTGGTTAATCAGAGGTGGGAGAAGTACTCAGATCTTGTCCTTAAAGGTCACCTATTATGCAAAATCCACTTTTTCATGTCTTTTATACATAAATATGTGTCCCCTCTTTAAGAGATTCTGAATGTTTCAGGAAAAAGATTCACCCACTTTTTATCCTGATCCATTTATATAAAAACCTGTCTGAAAATGAGCTGATCAGATTTTGACCACTTTATGATGTCATAACGATGTTTTGGCTTGTGTAACCATTTGCCAATAACCAACCAAGGTAACTCCTCCCCCACCTTATCACCTGAATCTCCTCCTAGAGCACCATTTCCCAACCTGGGGGGCGCACCCCCCCTTGGAGGGGCGCCAAAGATCGCAGGGGGGTGGAGGGGGTGCCAGGCCTCAGATGATTTGAGGCCAAATATCATATTTACACTTTTTTTTTTTTTTTTACATATAATTGTAACGCAATACATGATTGTCACTAAAAGCCTTGTCTCTACATTACAATAAAATCTAAAAAATAAATGATTAATTAATTTGAATACAAATTCAAGTTAGTAGCTATTATAGGCACAAAAAGACATAAATGTATAGTTCTTTCTTTAATAGAAATGTTTCTTCTGCCCGTAAAGTGTCCAAAACAGGCTTTTCTGGATAAGCGCATTTTTAAAACATAGTCATTGTCCATGCCGGTTTCAGTTGGATTATTTGTCACAGTTGCTCCGATCAGATCGGTCTCCTCCATTTTGTAGATTATTTACGACTTTTGAATCCACATAAACACATCGGCAAAATCCGGCTTACTTTGAGCATGTGTATTAAACAGTTTAATCCATTTGTGAATTGTTTCCCTTTGCACCGTCCTGTATTTTCTTCCTACGGGAATCCCAATGAATTAATCCTGAGTCCAATAACCATCAAAGTCACTCCAATAGTGCTCCTTAATTACGCTTTCATCCTCCTTTAACAAAATACTTCACATTCATCCAGTTTGTGACACTAGTTGTAGCATTTTTGGGACTTTTAAAATGTAATTACCGCTGTTGCGCCCCCCCCCC